GTTCGGACAAAAGTAGCGCTCACTGAATCCGAGTTCCTGGCTGATGCTCTCAGCGGGACAGAACCGATGAAAGTAGTCAGCGATGAAAAAGAGCCTGCTGTTTTATATCAGGACGAAAATGGTATCAAGCAAAGCTGCGCTTTGCTTGCACCAGAATTTGGGCTCTCGTGAGATAACGTACTGCGCTTCAGGAAATGAATGCGCTTGCCTTGTGTAGGCCATTCATCAGTTGCAGGTTATCTCAGAGGTGCTAAATTTAAAGTAGGGACAGACCATTTTTCCCCTTACTTGGCTGCAAGCCGTGACATAAAAGAACAGTCGCCTTGTGAGGCAGAGCTTGATTCTTCGAAAATACAATTTTGGCATTAGGTAAAAGAAGGGCAAATTGAATGGAAACGTTGACACGCTCAGCCGCCATTCTGGGGTGCTCTTTCTGTATCAAAATTGATATTTTAGTTTTTTCGTGCATCTTATGTAAATTTGTAAGGTAGCACGTCCGGTTTTTCAGCTCAAGTGAGTCCTGAGAGTTTTGAGTGTGAGCTTTTGTTAAAGCTAGGAAATGAAAATTGGTTTCCATCCCTCTTTTGGCTTGGTTTGTTCGAAGGGGGCCGAGTGCTTGCTTGTGCATGTGGTCCAGTTTCAGAAACGGTGTCGAAGATTCGACATTTACTCAGACCATGCCACAAGCGAAGGCCAGTTCTTGGGATTCGACTACGGACTTTTTCGTCGTCCCTGCGAGCAGCAGTGTTGACTGCTGCCCTCCGTGACTCATCTGGCGAGGGGGAAGCTGTTATGACCGGCATCAGTAGGCGCCATGCTGTCGCTGAGAAGCGTGGCCGGGCAGCGTTCCCACGCCTAGAACCCAGTTTTCTCGGAACCAGCGTCCAGAAATGACGGGGGAGCGGCGCTCTTTTAATCTTCAAACAAGTAGCCGGCTCGCCGAATGCCTATGCCCGCCAGGCATTGTCCCTGCTAGCCGGCGGATGAGACGTCACGTCGCCACGAAGCGGTAAGCCGTTCCAGAGGGGACAACAAAGACAGCGTCTTCCTTTGTAGAAACGGCGACCGCCGCCACAAAGTGCCCTGCTAATTGAGCAGACAGATTGGCGGACCGTTTGATGTCTGCTGTCCGAAGCTTGGGACCCCTCGACCAGTGACACACACGACGAGCAAGAGCCCCTCTGGCGCCACCTTTAAGTGCAGTGATCTTGACTCGAAATTGGCTGTTCACGTGCGCCGTGCATGCTCGTACCCCTCACCTGTTGTGTGTGTATGTGATTGGTGTTCCACTGAAGAAGGAGGAGCCCGACAGGGCTTATAACGGCGCCGCAGAGTGCAGGACGTCGCTCTGGAGCAAGTAAAGGTTCAACCACCACGTTCGTAGTTTGTGAAGGCTCTGAACCAACTAAAGGTTTAACCACCACGCTCGTGGTTTGTGAACTCTTAACCTCATGCTGTAAATATTTGTAAATAGTGCCATAAACCTTGTTTGTTTTTCGTATCCCCATCTTGTAAGCGGTCGTTTCCTCAACCCGAAGCTACACCACGCTACCACAGCTCCCCGGGATCGCAACAACTGGTGATCAGCGGTGGGATCACGACAAGGCCGACGAAGGCCAGAGCGAGTGCGACGAGGTGTTGTGCCAGTTAACTGTTAGCGAAACAGCTAGAATAGCTGTAGACAATCTGGCACAGACCTCAACTGTGTTTGTTGCGACGGTGGATCTTGCAAATGAGGTCGAAGTAGGCAAGAACACCGGAGAAAGCTCAGAAGCAGCGAGCGTAGAGAATGGTATCAGTGCAGTTGCAGACAGCTCTCAGGAATGCGAGCAAGGTTTTTCGAAGGGAAACGGCTGCATTGTTCCTATGTGTGTAAACCAGTCCGCCGGTCTAGAGGGTGAGAATAAAGATGATTTGATCGAAAATCATTTAGACCGCGCGACTGAGACAGCTGGCGAAAGCTGTGACAGGGTTCACGAGTGTGAGATGCGATCGGGAGGCTCGGAAACCAGACGCAAAAAGCGGCGCAGACGCAAGAGACGTTGGAGAGCCATGAGCGAGACAAAAGTCACTGCGCGTGTCGAGGAAACTTCAATATCTTTTAGCGTAGCAGGCAAAACGAGGCGTTTCGCATCGGTGCTTAAGCTGCTCTGCATGCGTGCGAGCCGCCGGACGAAAAGAAAAAGAAAAGCGGGTTCTTCGCAAATGCAATCAAATGGAAGGCGCCAGCGGAAAAGGGCAGGCCACAGCGCGCATCCTTGCGACCGAATTCGCGGCAGAGGTTTAGAGCTTTCCGCGGACAAGAGTGTCGAAGGGGTCCTGAGAAAAAGGCCACAATAGCTAAACACTGCACGGGAGTGAGCCGAAAGAGGACATCGCCACTCTTTCCCACGCGTTGCTCGAATCCCCTCCGCAGGGCTGACCGAAGCCCGCCGAAATTGCGAATAAGGCGTGACTGTGCCATTCAGCTGGAAGCCCGTGCGCGTCGTTGCCTCGGGCGTTCTCGAAATCCGCCAAGACCTCGACCGCCATGTGTACGATTGAAGTGAGGAACAGCTGTAAGCTGGAGAGTCGGACACAGGGATTTTATTAGAAGCATGCATGTTTGTTTAACTTTGATTTTACAGTAGTATGCCTGTGTCATCTCCACGGTTAGTTTGTTTAGCTACAGATTTCACTTCTCGTATTTGTAAGTATTGTAAGCGTTTTCAGTTAAGTTGATATGCGGAAGCAGTGGCTCGCATCAGTCTGCCGACTGCCTGAAATTAGTTTTTCTTCGAGTTCACTTGGTCACCACCTCAGTGTAGTCTTCTGTTCGTCAATAAACAATGAAAGGAGCTTCGCCCTAACTTGAACCTGGCGAATCTTAGGAGGGCTGAGTGCTCGCAGTGTCAGTGTTCTGTTTGTGTGCACCCTCCCCCACTAAAGTCGGGCAGCTACTGGCCCAGAAAAAAAAAAAACTGCCTCTGAGGACGGCGACCTTCATTTAGCGCCGTGTAACACGACCGACTATGGTGAAACCGGGCAACGGCGACTGGGACGCTGCAGATGTTGGCGGTCCCATGCTGTGACCAAGTGGGCGTTGCGCGCGGAGTGGGGTTGCCATTCCAAGGTGTGTGGGTGTGCGGTGGATTGTGGCGACGCCGAAATGCGCTGGTTGGGCGATCTGCTTTGTGCTGCGCTATGCAAAGGTGTACTGTGCTGTGTGGTGTGTGTGTATGGGTAGTGGTTGACAATCAGTGAAACACCCGAGAAGAAGCACAACGGCCACTTCAGGGAGCAGCGCCACTGCAGCCCTTCCGTGACCTCTTCGGGCGGCGGACGAGCTGTTATGACCGGCACAGCAAGCAGGTGGCTTGCAAGGGACGCTCATCGGCGTAATGGTCAAACGCTGTCCGCGTCCTGCAGGAACGCGGGAGGCGTCTGTGTGCGCCGCAGGAAACGCACATCAGCGTCGCTGGGACACACAGCCTGCGTCTGAGAAGATGCACGGACGAGGGGTATAAAAGGGCGTCGTGTGTGCGGTCGGGGCTCTCTCTCTGGACTTCGCTGGCCCGCTCGTCTCGAGTGCGCTCTGGGCCCTTGTGATGGAAAGGCGCGTCAGTACGCTCACGTTGCAATGTACGTCTCTTGCAAATATGTAAATTAAACGCATCTTCTACTTGTTCGTGAGACGCGTCGCAAGAGTCGTCCTTCGCCGGATCCTGGGTGGCAGCCTCAACCCCTCCCCGGGCATATCAGGCTGTTATCCTGCAAACAGGTGGACTTTCGAACTCGCCACACGTCACGGTCGTGATCCACTGAGGCGAAGGGGCGAATGCTCGCTGTTCGTGCAGATCAGGACGAGGCAACCTACGCATATAACGTAACTTGTGTGAAGCAGGTTGAGTCAATGTCCTCGTGTAACCTAACATAGAAGTTATGTTCACTGCTGGTCTGCAGTTGCTGTCGAACTCACTTCAGATTTTTCATTGTGTTTATGTTTCTAAATTAGGAACCTAGTTACAACTCCGAAATGGTTTGAAATATTTAAGTGCGGCGCCACAAACTTCTATTATTCCTCCAATAAAAGGAGACCATAAATATTTTACAGCTTTAAAATTTGTACTGCCATTACAACATAAGACTGCAGGTTGGAGAGGTGGAGTATAAATTCATATTTTATGCATAAGCCTGGGAAGGAAATTAAAATTGAATTATAATATAGTTAACATAATCAATAGGTGCCTTTTAACATTTAACACTGTGCAGCACTCGTTGCAGAGAAAAGTAATCGCAAGTAGTTCTGTGAAATAAAGCGTTGTGCTTTCGAAATGAGTTAAAAGCGGAGACCCTTTCGAACAGCGTCGGTAGCCATCACACACCATATAAGCAAATGAACTGCTTCTTTGTCCAGCTTTATCACACGTGGTGGTTTCTATGCGGCGCCAGGCCTCAAAACGAAAGCATGCGAATCCCCAAGTTGACGTCACACAAGTGCCGTTTGCAGCACCGCCATCGGTCGCACACCAGGCCAATACTAAAAGAAGTTTTCATCGTAAACATGCTTGCACATGAAGTGCACCTTGTGGCTGTGGCATCATTGTCCACAGGCAGGAGCAACAACTAATACTTTAGTTGACATCTCTGGGCTTTCCAGAACAAACATTGAGGTAAGTTTTGCTGTTTTGAAGGCAAAGCATTTGCGCTCGTTTTGCAAGCAAAGATAGCATGCAACCACTGGTGCCAATTTTGGTTCTACAGTCTTCCAACGATCAATACACTTTAAGTTTTTATTATCATAAAATAGAATATGGTTGATTAAACAGATAGTATGCATATAAAACACACATAGAAAGTGTAATGGCTAAAAACTGGCCAATCACACATTTGGTGCAGACCGGTGAACTGCCCACTGAGTAAATAAATGGTTAGACCAGTCAGAAACCAGGCCGACAGCAATTCTAGATGTGTGTGAAATCTATCCTGCAAGTGTCTAAACCTTAACAGTATCTGCTCACCTTGAAACGGTTGACCAAGTTTTGTAGAAGGGGTGATACAGGTGTGATGGCTCCGGCATTATGCTTGTGGCACACAGGGCAGCTATTGTCCTGGCGAACCCATGCCTGGATGCAGTGGCGACAGAAGACGTGCCGACAGGGGCACTCAACCGGATCACGGAGAAGTAAGTGGCAGATGACGCAGATCAGCTCGTCGAAAGACATGGGATCATACAAGTCTTCTGGCAACAGGTTTCGCACTGCAAAGAGCTTGGCTATTGGACCACAGTCACGAGTGTGCATGCCAGATGAACCACGAGTATATAAGATATGCACTAACCAATCTGCTCATAACTGATAGGCCACACTTATCCACATCTGTACACCTGTAAGCAACAGGATACGGACCATCTGCACTTTCTAGGACCGTGCCATCTGCTATCTAGAGCATTTCTCTGCCAAACCATTATGGCATTCGCGGGCTCCCACTCATGTTACTTAAAAGCTATCTGGCGCATAGATGTCAATTTGTTTCGATAAATGATTTAGTATCAGATAAGAAAAATATAATTTCAGGGGTACCACAAGGGAGCATTCTTGGCCCTTTATTATTCACTTTATATATTAATGACATAGTCCATATCTCCCCAGAAGTTAAGTTTATTATCTATGCAGATGACACGAGTATATTTGTCGCCTCATCATCAGATGTTATTCTTTCTAATAAAGCTAATGACGTCTTACAGAAGTTAGACAACTGGACAAGTAACAATAAGTTAAAAATAAATGCAACTAAAACAAAAGCGGTAGTTTTTCATTCGAAAGGTCAACAAGTGACTTTGAAGAATAATATTGTATTTAGAGGCTCAGATATAGAAATAGTGAAGTCAGTGAAAGTACTTGGGGTACATTTCTCCAGTTCTTTGCAATGGGATGACCACGTAAATAATATTCAAATAAAATTAGGCCGGATAACTGGAATACTCAGCCGTATCCGGTACCTCATCCCCAATTCGGTGAAGTTATTGATATACAAATCGCTGTTTAGTTCTCATCTTAACTATTGCTATTTGGTTTGGGGAACAACTACAGAAACAAACTTAACAAAATTACTGAGAATACAGAAGAAAATACTGAGGCTGATAGACAACGCTACAGCTCTAGCACCTAGTGACCCACTGTTTAAAAAATATAAGATAATCAAAGTGAATGACCTATATCAATACAGACTACTACGAGAGTACTGCCTTAGCTGCAAACGCGCAAACTTTTTGTTTACGGAAATGGCGAATCTTTGCTTAAAGGAAAAGGCGTATGTAACAAGAAATACAGAAATGTGGAACGTTCCGTACTTTCGCACTAATTATGGTTTTCAGATGCTTCGATGTACTCTACCGCGAATTCTGAATACTTATATTAGCAAAGGTATAGATGTGTCTCATTTAAGTGTCGCAGAATTAGCGGCTCTTTTTGTTCTATAAACTATGTAGCAAACTATGTTATATGTTCTATAAACTATGTATTTATTCAGGTGCAGAAGATTGCTGCAAGTTTCTTTGTTGTGTAAGCTATGTATCAACTACGTTTTCGGGTTTCCTTCCTTTGTGGCATGATCTTTACGTAAAACAATGTGAAAGTGTATGATATTGTGATGTCCTTCATCTGCTGCCATTGTTCACAAAGGGGGCGGAGGATCCCTCAAGCCGTCATTACGGCTTTTCCCTCCGCCTCCTGTTACACTGTACTGTGACGAAGCAAATAAAGCAATCAAGCAATCAATCAAATTCCATCGGAATACTCGCAACATATCTTCTGTCAAAGCAATGCTCCCGACAGCAGATGGCTCGGCTCAAGATTAAACGGCGTAAACAGTGAATCCGCCTCGCGGTTCTGTGGTCCGTACACATTTGTCGACCGGTGAACAGTGCTCTCTAATCTTCGGTAAACACTGCCCAGCGTGGCCACGTATGGCCATGCCGCACGTACTGCCATTACATCCGGCATGATCATGCATCGAATAAAAACAGCGCATGTGCACACAAGTACATCACTCTTGCTGCACTACAGCAAAGTAAGAGCAATGCCATGGCCGTGCTGGCTACAAGGAAGCGGTGCACACCAGAACAAGAAGACGCAAAGTATCTCTCCTCAGTCCCTCGGCACATCACTTTCTTTTACATTCAGAAAAGAAGCGTTGCAAATCTCAAGAGCACACTCCCTCCGAAGCGGATCCGAAACCTGTACTTCCATAATTTCCATGGGGGTACAAGCTCCGCTGAAGGAGCCCGCTTAGACACTAGCGCCAGATTCCCCTCTAGGTATTATTGTATGAAACTCTATGGCTTGGGCAGTCACTGAGCGTGTGCAGGCTTTCAATAATTTTTCATCTTTGACACAGGGCAACCTGGACCATAACAGTTCTGACACAAAATTCCAAGAAAACATGCTCTAAGATAGAGCATTTTGGCTCGGCGGAGATGCTGAAGGTCGTCTTCTGACGAAGGAAGGCCCAATGTTCTTCAAAGTGAGGGAAGGAGCAGCCGACGTAGACTTCTGCATGTGTACTTGTTAACCCCCAGGCAAAAAGAAATGCTCCTTTTAAATGGTGAAAAGCTGCTCCCAACCCCATGCTCTTCTTCCCCTCTGAGCATTGCCCTCAACTGCGGCATAACCCATCAACTCCCAGGATGACAAAAATGGGGCAGTTCTCCAAATCTGACGAAATTTCAGCATGTTCACACTCTATCTAGAACAAAGTGTTATAAGTTGACAGAATCACTGCAATCACGACAGTACATGTTTGAAGACTGTATACACACTGCACAAACTTGCCAGCTTACCCAAAACAAATCGCTCATGTTTACTTGGAGGATCAGCCTCACACAATATTACGATATTACGTTTTAGTTATTCTTACAAAACAATTCAATAACTTCGATTTGCATAAATGCAATTCTTTATTTTCCCTTTTTACTTAAACACAACATCACTTAAGTAATACACTGGAAGACAAAAACTGCACTGCGCAATTCCTGTGGGGTTGTCACGCCTCGTAGTGGCAGGTCTGCCTACGCGTTGTTAACGAGGGATCTGTCGTTCGGCCAGCATTGCCGGGGGACGCACTTGGAAAGCTAGAGGGATCCATTGGTTTACTTCGACGCAGCACTATCCGTTATGAAGAGTAGTCGTTTAACGCGAAGTGTGCACTTTACGTTTGACGACTCGAAAAAAAAAAACAGAAAAACTGGGAGTGCTTACGTGACGAAGGCAACGGAGACTTCCACCAAGCCATGCTCTCTCGGGAATTCCGCAAATCCCGCCAAAACAACAGCGCCCTGGGAGAGGTCAAAAGTTCGTCGAACGCAAGACCAACGAACTAGGCTAACCAAACCTTGCGAGTTCCTGACTGTCTACAGATAAAACTGTCTGGCGGGCAAGTTGGTTAATTGATGTTAGACATATTTAAACTGCGCGAAAGGACACAGAACACGAGCACAAAAAACGCGGTAACCCTTTTTGTTTGCGGAGAGAAAAGCTGGAAACGGAAAAATAACTAGAGAAATGACATATAACTGACGACAGAGAGACTGACGCAGTCAGTCATGTGCTGCCCTCTACAAGGCATTTTTTGCTACTAAAATTGGCGGCTCGAAGCCTCCGAGATGGCAAGCGCGCATTGACCAAGGAGGGTACATTTATGTATCCTCCTTGGCATTGACCCGCAGCACGTCTACCATCTCGGAGGCCATAGGTAGCTTGCCCGCCAGAAATGTTTTGCGAGAAAGCAGCCTTTGACCGAATATACCATGGACCGAGTCGTGAAAAAGAAAAACGGTCACAACAGTATCTGTCAAGAAATGCTTGCTTTGCATTTTGGTTGATGAATATGTGGGGTTTAACGTCCCAAAAGCACTATATGATTATGAGAGACGCCGTAGTGGAGGGCTCCGGAAATTTCGACCACCTGAGCGCACGGGCCAACAGCATTTTCACCCCCATCAAAAATGCAGTCGCCGCAGTTGCTTTTTATCGTAGTGTGCTTGTTGGTTGAAGCGGCTGTCAGTCACTCATTCCGACGCGTGAGCTGCCCGCGGCGGCTCCTCCTTCGCAAGGTATCTTTCCGAGTCGCACCTCAGAACCACAATTAAGTTCATTTTCTTTAGTAAAACTTGTTAGGCTAGTTGGCGCACGTTACAAGAAAATTGGGCGACGCAATCCGCCGGGAAAGTATAGACGAAAAGAAAGAGCGCCACTTTTTTTTTTTTACTTGCAACTAACTTAAATTTATAGTTGAATCTACCATGCCACACTGGCCCACACATGCACAATAACAAAACATTTCAAAAAAAAAATTAATCGAATTCAGTCGAATGCAGTGCCACCGATTAATACATATCTTTTTTTGTCTGATGAGGTATGCTTCTAGAATATCTCGATCGTGCACTCAGATACCCCCTTGGTTCTACAGTTCTACCTAAAATGGTGATATCATTAAATCTTGCCTCACATTTACACGCGCTGTAGTGCGTAGGAAAATGTGCCTAAAGATTATCTTTAGTCGAAAAATCATGCTCCCTCACTCGATCGTTTACGCATCGGTCGGTCTGGCCCATGTGAACCTTTCCAATTTTCTTCTATCCTTGCCTGTCTGTGTCCGGTGAACGCCTGAGCCCCTTCATGCGAGCTTTGGGCTGCGCGGCCGGAACCCCGTGGCGTCTTTACAAGCGTCTCAGTATGCATGTCGACGGTGCCTATCGTTGTTTACAAACATAGAATATGTCTATGAGCCTACATTTGCACACCTCGCCTTGTTTCGCACTGCCGCCGGAACCGGGCCCACCTTTGACCAAGCTGTTCGAGGTATAGCGCATCCAGGACGGGACAGAGACGAAAACACAGAACACATACACGGCGCTAACTTTCAACAATGCGGTTTAATACGAGAAACAGCAATACTTATACCCAAACACGGCAACCCAAACACGACAACCACGTGCTAGAACCAGAAAATTGTGATCTACTGCAACTCATGCGACATCCAAATAATGCAATTCTTTCAATGATAATGATACCGATGGCTTGCTCATACAGGCGTCCCCAAACTTAGCAATGAATTTTGCTTCTATGATGAGCCTTGCAATTTGGTTAGTGCTTCTTCCGATTATGCTGGTGCGATTAAAGAGGGGTTGGCACCCGCATTCTTTGCAGTGAATTGCAAGAAAACCCTCAGGCTGTGCCTTGACCACGTTGTTCTTGTGTTCATTCAGCCTATCATTGATGCATCTACCAGTTTGCCCTATATAGCATGCATCACACGTTAATGGGATCCGGTAGATGACTCCTGTGATGCACGCGACAAACATAATATGGTGGTTTGGGTATAAGTATTGCTGTTTCTCGGATTAAACCGCATTGTTGAAAGTTAGCGCCGTATATGTGTTCTGTGTTTTCTTCTCTGTACCGTCCTGGATGCGCTGTACCTCGAACAACATGAATAACGAACAAGCCGCCGTGCAACCTTATTTGACCAAGCGATGATGTCGCCCTAATGACGTAACAAGTTGTGGCATTCTGTGACGTCACGGAAACGTCGTGCGGTGACGTCATCACGTGGCGGTTACTTTTCGCTCACTTGTTCTGACATCGCCGACGCGAGATGCCGGTCGGATTTCGCGTTCGATGGGCCTTCAAACAAATCTAGGCCGTACAGTGTGTAGAGACCTACCGCTAGCCTTCGTTGGATAACTGTAATTGCTGCGCGAGTTTCAAAAATGTAACTTAAATGATTAGCGTCAAATTAATGACGGTCACAAATAAAGTTATGACGTGTCTGCTTTGACTGAAAAAGGGAGGGGGGAAGGGTAGATGCGGATAAACGCTCTCCAGCTACGTTTAGTATTTAGTTCTTAATATTAAAGAGTGGCCCTATACATTTCATACAATTTTACCCAGACAGGCAGATTTATAGATATAGAGTTTAACCAGCTCTGTCAAATATAGCGAAAGCTTTGTTTGCGACTTATGTAGACAGCTTTGCGTATGGTAATTCCGAAATCGAATCGCCGACGCTTTAACGCATCGTATAATTCATCCTCAGCGTCGTTAATTTGCGTCGTTCGAAACACCCGCCTGAATACCATAAAAAACTAGCGCCCCACAGCGGGCAGTGCCTGAGGCTACGTGCGCTCGGCGAGACGACATTGCACGCGCTGTTTTCAAATAAAGGTATCCACCGATTGTGAAGAATGAAACGATGTTAGTGGCTTTAAGCGTTCCCCCACTAGAAAAAAAAAAAAACTTCACAATACTACTTTGAGACTAGCTCGAAAACCAAGCGAGGGAGGTGACAATTCTAGGGCCTTTAGTGACAATAGTCCTCGCTGGTTGCCAGTCGAGGCATTGTGCGCGCCCCGCAAATGTTCTCTGACGACAACAATACTTGCTTGACCTTTGCAACGTCTCGAGGGGATCCCCTGTCTACGTCAAAGCACAGAAAATGTCGATTGCACCAGAATAGTTGCACGAACAAACGCCCTAACTTTCACTAATGATCGGTCAGCAGGAGGGCCCCCGCGTGGAGGACTCTCATCTGGAGTTTCTAAAGTTGGTGTCAGGGGTCCTTTGAATGTGGGGATCATATGCTAATCTATATTCAACCGTAATGAGAACCAGGAGATTCAGGCAGTGTCAAAAAAACAAGCCCTCAAAACGTTTTCTTCAATTCAATCTATATTCAAGTCACAGTACTACGAGGCCTGTCATAATGTCAACACTGCGTTCTACTGCTCATTAATTCTTTTCTTCGATCTTCTTATTTTCGAGTCTTGTTACGAAGAAAGAAAGTAAATCGAAAATTCTATACAGAATATGGCAGGCTTTTCATTTCATATTCAACGGGTTTCGTCAAACCCAGATCAGCATACGCAAAGATTAAGGACCATATTTTCCAACGCTTAGACCACCACTCGACATCAGAGAATATTCTCGCAGTACAACGCCAACAAAGCACAAGTACGCCTTGAGGCAGCGAAAGCAGCGTGTTCTCAACAGCTGAGCCGCAAGATTTTCTTCTTCGTTCTCCAGTCAAGCCAGAGGCCCACTATTTGGTGTCCGCTAAATCCCCTCATCATCGTTTTTGTCCACATGTAGACACGGGTCAATATTACACCGGTTTGTTCGCTTTTTTTCTATTTCTCCCCATAGAAACCATAATAGCGTAGAAAATGAAAAGTTTGAAGTTGTTCGAGAATAAAGATAATATGTACCGTAGCGATCACTACTTTCCAGTACCAAATTGATGGAAGCGAAAAAGCTAGAGGTCTAAGTACTGTTCGATGTCGCCAGATGATCAAAATTTCCGGAGCCTTCCACTACGGACGTTATACCCCGTATAATATTGTGTACAGTATCACAGAAAAAAAAAAAGTCCATTCTTTCCGTGAGAAAAGGCTCGATAAGCAGAAGTGCGAACAGGTCCAACTGATTGATTGATTGATTTGTGGGGTTTAACGTCCCAAAACCACCATATGATTATGAGAGACGCCGTAGTGGAGGGCTCCGGAAATTTTGACCACCTGGGGTTCTTTAACGTGCACCCAAATCTGAGCACACGGGCCTCGACATTTCCGCCTCCATCGGAAATGCAGCCGCCGCAGCCGGGATTTGAACCCGCGACCTGCGGGTCAGCAGCCGAGTACCTTAACCACTAGACCATCGCGGCGGGGCGAACAGGTCCAACTGAAGCTCCCGCTTGTCGCGACGTGACCTTTTTTTTTTTTTTTTCAATTGTGCTCACTCATGTGCGGCAAAGTCGCAAATTGTCGATTTCAAGCTGTCGAAAAGCGTCAATTTCGAATGAGTCGCTTGAAGCAGGATTTCACAGTTGCTCGACAGAGTCGAAGCCAGAGCAGTCATCTTTAGGCCAAAAGCGGCCACTATGGATTTCAGCGCCCACATTCGAGGGTATTTAATAATGAATGTTGAGGTTTCGCGCGTCGAAATTGCGATATAAGCCACGCCGTAGTTAAGGACTACGGATTTTGGCCGACAATTTCGGCCTCCTTCGAAAATGCGGTCAGCGCTGCCGGGTTTCGACCCCGTGACCTTCGGTTTAGCAGTCGATATACCATAACCTCTGGAACTCCGTGTTGGGTGATGAAATATTCGCCTCGATCACGCCACTTCCGCACTAATCGGTAAATCATTGGCGCTGTTTTGCGTCCCAAAACCACGATATGATTTTGCACGAGGTGCACGCCTGTTTTGAGGTCGACCGACTAGGCGCAAAAATCTAAGCACACGGTCATTGGCACAAGGGCAGAGGAGTCTCCATGATTTTTTTTTTCAGTTTTGCTAGAGTATATGTGCAAGCACATATATAAACACAAGCACGTACATAAAGAATGGTTGAACATGCCCCCCCCCCCTCAAAAAAAAAAGAAGTCTGGCTGGCAAAAAGGTGTTCCTTTCATTTCGCCCATATTGTAATGCGGTCGCCGTATGTCCTGGATAATCGA